AGAGTGGAACGATCCCTATGTAGGGCAATTTATTTGGTAATCTTTATCAAAATACAATTGCATGTACTCTGCTTGGGAATTGATCCTGCTCTGCGGGAGAAAGACCAGGCTTTCTATTGTTTGTGAAAGCTTGCAGTCTCCAAAACTCACAGGGGCGGGCAGTTCTACCCCATCCTATGGTGTCACTTGAGCGGGCACTGACTCTGGCAGTGAGAGTGAGTGAAGTCAGAGTTGTGTTTTCAAAGGCCCAGCTGGTTTAGATGTTGCACTGCACCCAGGTCCTGTAGCCCCACGGAGCTCATGTGTCAGCTCTCATTGCTCTGACTTCAGATGCTGACAGATGAGGCCCGAGGCAGCACTGCCAGCCCATCCAGCTGCTAGAGGTGGTGCTTTCCCGAGACACTCCAACCATGCAACCAGTTTCCATGGTAACAGGTCTTTTACTTTCCTGTGACGCACAGATTTTAAAAAAGATTCCTCATCTATATGTTCTTCAGGGTCTGTGTTCTTAACCTATATCCTCTGGACTAGTCTAAAGACTTCTCCCAGGAGTATTTGTAGACACTCCTCCCAGAAGAGGTCTAAGATGCGCCCGACCCAAGCCTTGGCAGTTACCTCTCATGCTCGTGAAAGCCAGACAGTGACTAAGGGAGACTGAAGAGGAATTGATGCTTTTGAATTATGGTGAAGAATATTGAATATGCTCGTGTATAAGCCGAGTTCTTCAGCAAATTTTTAATGCCGTTTTTGTGGTAAAATTAGGTGCCTCGGCTGATATTCGGGTCAGCCTATACTTGAGTATATACAGCATATCATGGACTGTCAGAAGAACAAATAAATCTTAGAGAAAGTCTGTTTAGAAGTGGGGATGGCGAGACCTGGCACACTTGGGACTTGTTTTGTCAGGAAGGACAGTGTCTGGAGAAGGGCATCTTGCCCGGCAAGGTGGAGAGGCAGTGAAAGAGAAAGCCATCGGTGAGGTGGATTGACGAACAGTTTTTCGAGCACATGTAGTTGTACTCTTGTAGGGTTTCACACCAACCAGAAAGGACTTGTTGGATTATTTGGTGGTGATACCAAGAAAACTTATATTCCTTCACTATTGGGAAATTCACTTTCCCTTAAACAATTTTTAAATACAAAAAATAGAAAAAGTTATATAACTGAGCTATATACTGACCGCTTAGATTTAGAATTAAGATTTTACCCTATTTTGTTGAGTAAGTCAGGGATATGCATTTAGAGATTCTGTTATAATGTCTAATACCAAGTCTGATTCAAATTTCCCCAGCTGTCCAAATTATCTTTTACTAACGGTTTGTTAAAATCAGGACTCATTTAAGGATCATACATTTGAATTTGATTACATTTTAATCTAGGACAGTTTTCCTTGTCTGTTCCACTTCCTGCCCCAGGATAATAATTTGTCTGATATCAAGTGATCTGTCTTGTAAAATATCCCACCTTTAGAATTTCCTGGGGTTTTTTTGCTCCTTGTTGTGCTCCAGTTGATTTGTATCTCTAGCCCCCATATTTATAGAAACTAGAAGTCAGGTCTTGAGATCTTATTAAATTCAAGACAAGTTTTTGCAGGAATGAGGTTTCCTTAATCTCACAAGCAGGAGCCACAGCATATTTGAATCTTTGATTTAAACTTAAAGCGTCCTACTTGGATTCAACATAGTTTTTTTTTTCCAGGACTTCGAGGATACATTTCATAGATAGTTTAAAGCCTTTTTATTTGAGGATTTAGTAGGATTCTCCTTTCCCTCGGAACGGTTTGATTTCAGAAAGTAAAGGTCAAATGAGCATTAAATTAACTGAATTTCCCACATAAGCCAAATGTACTGTCAGTGAAAACACATATACAACACAAAACAAACAAACAAAACGAAGGGTTTTGCTACTCAAAATGTGCAGTGACCCTGGCCTCCAGCCATCCACGGCTGATTTCTGTTCCGCTTTCCCAGGCAGGCAGTCAGCTCTGACTCCATGTTTGTGAGGGAGTCACTGTCGACAGTGGGGTTTGCGCCTTCCGTGTCCTTTGCTATTGTTTGCTCTAGGCCATGTCATCTCGTGACTCCCCGCGTACTGCAGCATTCCACCTATGGCTTTCCCCGCTCCTGCCGGTTCTTCTTGTAGGCCAGGCTGACTTCTGACCGTTGGGTCTCTGGCCCTGGGAGGCAGGGGATAAACACGAGCCTCAACACTCACTAGCTAGCTGGCTCTTCTTGAGCAGGCACCTACCATCCATCTGTGAACCTCCTTTTCCCATCTGTGAAATGAGGATGTAGCCGGCTTGGATGCACGCAGAGTTGTCGTTGCAGGGCTTGATAGGGGTCCCGAACTAAAGGTAAAACTGTTTGAAAAATGCTCTAACATAGGGAACAAACCTGGGTTCCTGCCCAATGCATGGACTTAGCTCAGGTAGGCCAATAGATTTTTTTCTGGTTTCCACTTCTGTATTTTATTTCACATGCTACCTCTTTCCCTTCTCCATCCAGGAAACTTGCCTTCCTCTTCAGAATCTGATCTTTAAGTCTCGGATCAAATGTTTAATCTTTAACAAAACATTTTTAGAAAAAAACCTGCCCAGCACATACTTCGACCTTTATGTAAACTATTGCCATTATAGTTATTCTCCAATTATTTTTATGCATAGGCATCTTATTTCTGCTTAAGTTTCTTGGTCATGATGTTTGTGTCCAGCTCAGGAATCCGTGTGGGGCCTTTTATGAGACTGGAGGGTGTTGCCTTGAAACTGAGGCTGGTGGATTGGCTGTAGGGGACAACATCTTTCTTAAGTGGCTGGTCTTTTTCCTAGGAATGAGCACTACTTTCTTGTGTGAAGTCCCCCTTTATTTTTCACTGTGGCCTCCCTGCCCACATGGATAAATTCTTTCCAGCTTCTTGGCCACATCACTGCCCTACTCCGTCTGCTTCCCAATACCTTTAGAACTCGGCCTGAGCTGTCCCAGCTGGTCTTAGAACTTACAGTGGTCCATAGGAATCGTCACCCGTGGACTTGGGTGGCTCATTAGTGAAAGTTTATTGTGTGGTCATTATCATGACCACAGCAATTTCAGACCGGCACTGGGCCTGTTGACAACTCACCTTTCGTGCCTCTCTCATCTCTCGTCTGACTGCTCACCAGACGGGGTCGGGCTGGTAAAAGACATCATCCTGGGTCCCTCCAGCACCCAGGTGATCAGGCCTTCTCAGTGGGGGATGGGGAGGGAGCTGTGTTTTCTAATGCTCCCTCTGATCAGCCGTATTTGGAACTACTGTTCTGAAGGGTGATCATTCATCCCCTACTTAATTGTACATCACTAATGATGGTGACTCGCACAGCCTGCTGGTACTGGTTTGTAGGATAGGGTTACAGATGGTTCCCTACGGATGGGATCTCCTGGCAGAGGGGAATGTGGCATGATAAGGGTTTAGGAGCACAGGGATGGTTTATCAGACTGGTGTGTCCCTCCTGTAGAACCACTGTGAACCAGACCTTGAAGTTCTCACCATCTGTCTCGTAAAATTCCACTTTCAGTTTACCAGCTGCATTGTGAAAGATAACAGAAAATGATCAAATTCAAACATCTGAATTTGCGAGATGTGCCATTTTGAATGGCTCCTGGAGTACAGTTTATTTTGTTTCCTTAGCTTACCTGTCAGGCTCTCCTTTGGGTCCATTAGAAACAGAGAAGCAGTAAACCAAGACCAGGGGGAGAATTCTCTTTGGACAGCATTATGAGAGTTAATAGCGTGTATGGTTGGCAGCTTCCAGTTTGATTCATTAGTAAATTACAGAGGGGATTGTTGTAATCAGGAAGAAGTATTAATTAGTAGAGGGACCTTCATATTGGAGATTGGCCCCTCAACAGTCAATGCGGTGTTGAATGTGAGGCTGGCCAAAGGAGCAGCGTGCCTGGCTGGTCTTCACACTGCTTCCCAGACATGCCTGCCAGTCCTGTTTTGGAGACCACCCCAAGACCAAACGCACTGCCACTGAGTAGTTTCGTCCACTCCCAGCCACTTGGGAGGATGGAGTGTGCTTTCTCAGGCCACGCGCTGAATCTTGACAGAAGCAGACAGCTTCAGCTTTCATTTTTGAAGCAGCTGGCAGGTTCGAACCGCCGAACTTGAGGCTTGCCTCCCAGTGCTTCACCCACCATATCATCAAGGCTGCTTTGAAGGCAGCCAGTACTTCCGTTGAAGTGCCTGCCTAGATTGTGTTTTTATCTGCATACCTCGGCCCAGGACGGCCAGAAGGAAAATGTCCAAAGGTAAACCAGCCTTCTTAGCAATGCATTGGAGCTATTCCGCGGACAACGTGCGGCGTGTGGAGTAGGTTCATGAAGCGTGTGGAAGCTGTGCCCCGGCTCTGCCTGCTCCAGCAGATGGTGCGACTGGAGGTCTGCAGCCATTGCCCCGCCCTCCTGACGACAGTCTGGGGGTGTTTGGGTCTGTGCTCATTTTGCCCAAGTTTGCTGGCATGTTAAGTGACAAAGCTGAGAGGTTGAAAGTGCTCATGGAGGCCTTTCGGCATGATGGAAACGTTCGTTTTCACATTGCTCTGGGACACAGGACTGCTTTGTCAGGCAGCAGGTAGAAAGCCATGCTACATTCAGAGCACCGGAGCCTTGAGCTGCTAAGTTGGGATCAAGGGCGGTTTCGAGAAGAATTTGAATGAAGCACTGTATGAGTTTCTTTCCTGTAGTACCCTCCCTTCTTCATATCCCAACCCCTTTTCCCCAAAGTCACCCCTTTCTTGATTAACCTTTCCTGGGTGGTGGGGTGAGGGGGGCCCAAACCACGTGTAGGTGTTTTCTGAACAGCCCAGTTTAAGTCTTCTTAGTAGTAGTGAAAGGTCTCAACTAAAGTACAAAGTATCTATTTTGAACAAATATTAATACAAAGAAACTTCGTTTTAGTAGGACAATGGAATGAAAAGGTATGATTTGCAAACTTCGTGAAGCCCCTTGCAGTGTTGCGCTAACAGCTTTTGGAAACACAGCGAGACGGTAAGCTCCCTATGCATCCCTTTCCGATTCTGCCGCGTCCTTCCCCAGTAGCTGTGCTCCTGCACCGGGCGTCTCTGACGCCTGCATCCGTTTGCCATCTGCTTCTCCCTGAATTTCTCCAGGGCAGGGTTTGTGCACGCTCGAGGCTTGACACACGCAGCTCCAATCCACTCACGTCCACTGCTGGGCCTTTTATTATCCTGTGACCCTGCCCAAACTGCAGTGGCTGGCGCACACGCAGTTTTCTGATGTACACCCCACTTTCAAATTTTGCTGCTACCGACAGCGCTTCAGTGAGACCTCTGTGTGTCCTTTGTCCGCATGAGTTTCTTTGGAGCCCCTTCGTTTTAAAGATCTATTTTAAGGAAGTAAATCACCGGGTAAAGACTGACACGAACTGGTGAGCATGGCAGAGCTGTGTTTAACACGGGCTCTGCACGTGGCTGACAGGGCACTGGGAGAAGCTCCACTGCCTGAAGATACCAGGTAGCAGCCCAAAGTAAATAAGCACACTGGACGCAGGTGTGGTGTGCTGGTTAGCTAACGAACTGCATGGTCACAAGACGAAAACCACCAGCTGCTTCACGGGAGAAAAGCCCCCACTTCCTTGAGGATTTACAATCTCAGAAACACACACGTGTGTGTGTGTGTGTGTGTGTGTGTGTGTGTGTGTGTGTGTGAGTCCTACCCTGTTCAGTAGGGTTTCTGTGCGTCTTCATGGACTCAGTGGCAGTTGAGTTTTAGTTTGGTTTGTGTGTGTGTGTGTGTGTGTGTGAGTCCTACCCTGTTCAGTGGGGTCTCTGTGCGTCTGCATGGACTCAGTGGCAGTTGAGTTTTAGTTTGGTTTGCAGGTGAAAGGTGAAGTTCAAAGCCACGCTGGGTGGAGTTGTTAGAGGCTAACTTTAACCTGCTGTGGAGGTCTGCTGTCTGAGTCTCCCCACTGTTCTGTGGAGGGAAGGTAGGAGTGGGGATGAAACAGGCCCTTTCCTAAGGATTTCCAGCCTCGGAAACCTGCAGGCGCCGTTCTCCTGGGGCCTGCAGGGTTCCTGTGAATCGGAATCGGGCGCATGGCAGTGAGTTTAGCTTGCCTGATGACTTGGCTTCACCACCCCTGTTTGCAGTGGGTGGGTGGGTATGACGGCAGAGGCAGCTGTGGGGACCCCGCATGTCAGTGATTGAAACTTTTCTTCTCCACCTTGACTTGATTTTCAGTTCCCAAGAGCACTTTGTCTCTGTCTCTGTCCCTCATTTTGATCGTAAAACCAGTAGGCAAATCCTGTGATCTCCTTCCTGTTCCATAGGATGGGCAGGTGCTCCAACTTCTGAGAGCGGATTCTAGTCTCTGTGTGGGGAAAGACAGCAAAAAGTTGGCTGTTTTAATCATTTACTGCACTTGCAATTTGCTGACATTGTGGATTGCATCCTTGCCCTGGCGGCATCCATTCACACGGCCCTCCCAGGAAGATGATGCACCCAGTGTGGAAGAAGCTGTGGCTTCCTCAGAGAGTTTGAGTGTTAAGTGTCGAATCCAGTCACCATCCATTCAAAAGGAACTCCATGATAGAAATTTCTTTTGGTGGAATCTCTCCCAAGACCCTCCTTCTCCCCCACTTCCAACCGCAAACAGGTCTGTGGACAGTGCAGCTGGGTAGTTTCAGAACCGGCACCTTCTGGGAACTGGTAAGAAAGGCACATATCTCCACCCGCCCTCACCCCCACCTGGTCTGGTCCAGCAACTTGGGCTTTTTAAAAAATGATTTTTTTAATTAGAGCATTACATACAAATACTCTTCATCTCCCGTGCATAACACTCCTATTATTAGCATCTTGTTTCTGTGGTACATTTGTCACAATTGGTCTGGGTACTTGATTGTTAGTAACTAAAGTCCCCATTTACCTTGGGGTCCACTCTTTGGGGTGTACAGTCCTATGGGTTTTGACAAATGCTAATGTCCTGTCAGCCATTACAGTATCCCACAGAACAGCTTTCCTGTCCTAAATGTGCCCCTCCATCCCAGCCCCTCCCGCCCCCCAAATTCCCCCATTGGCTGTTGCCTCTGTAGTCTGGCCTTTTGCAGAATGTCATAGTGTCAAATCATACAGTCTGAAGCGTTTTCAGATTGATTTCTTTCACTTCCCAACACACACTTAAGGTTCCTCCCTGTCTTTTTCCTGGTGTGACAGCTCACAATCTGCGTTGTAATCAGCCTTCCCTGGGAGGCTGAGACTCAAAGGAGGCAGAAACAGGTGCGTGGGGTCCTGGTGTCACAGTGGGTTAAGTGCTGGGTGGCTAGAGGCCAGGGCGGCAATTCCCGAAGCCACCAGGTGGCAGAGGTAGATGAGGCTGTCGGTTCCCAGGAAGGTTTGTGGGCTTGGAAGTCTTCTGGAGGAGCTCTCCCCACTCCGCTGGTAGGGTCAGGATGAATCATGGCGTCACTGCCCTTGCAGGAAGGAGCCTTGGCATACTAACTGCTCTAAGGACGACAGGTCTGTCATTGCTTGCTCATTCATGACATTAAAGAAGTGGACCTTTGAACCCACTCTGTGTGGAGTTGTCAGGGGCAAGCCTTAACTTTTGGGAGCTTGCTTTGTTTTCCCTTTTGTTGGTTCTGACCAACAGTAGGAAATAGAATGCCGTAAATCCTCCCCGTTTCCAGGGTTACCTTCTTGCAGCTGATAACAGGCAGGAAATTAAAACAATCTGTGACCGTGTTTTGTTCTTATTAGCCACAGATGGTCGCTTTCAGATATGTTGGGAGCAAAACATAAGTAACTATAGCAGTGTGACTTCGTTATGGAGCAAAATGGTCTGGCTGGGTCAAGTTTATAGTCTGGGTTGATTTTCATGAACGGGAACATAGTATCCTACGTATCAGTGTTCCCTTATCACACAAAGCATGATGCCACATGAGCAACACTGGTTTCTGTTGCATCTCGTTGAGTATGTAAAGTGTCTACGTGATTTCAGAGTCAAAATTATATTCAAAGACGTCTCATTTCCACCCATATCCTTTTATCCTGTTCTTTGACCCTCACCACCTGTTGCTGCAGAGTCCATTCTGACCCCTAGTAATCCTGCAGGCAGAGTCAAACTGCCCCTCAGGGTTTCCTGAGGCTCCATGTCTCCTGGGAAGTGGCTGCTGAGTTGGTGAGCAGCCAAGCACTTTAACCACTGTGTCACCAGGGCTCATTTGTCCCTTCTCAGCAATATTTCCATTACCTCTTAAATGTATCCTTTTGACAGTCCTTTTGCAAATAAACACATACCCTTAATGGCATAGCTGAGCCAAGCTAAGTCCTTGGCTGCTCACTGAAAGGTCAGTGGTTCAAACCCACCAGCAAGCCTGCAGGAGATGGACGCACACATGGTGGTCTACTTGCATGAAGATCAATGCACTGCCGTTAAGTCAGTTCCAACTCACAGCACCCTGTATGGACAGAACTGTTCCTTTGGGTTCCACACAGTGAATCCCCAGAGGGGCAGATAGCCTCAACTTTCTCCTGTGGAGCAGCTGGTGGCTTTGAACTCTTTATCAACGCTCACCCCACAGCACCACCAAGGCTCCTCTATGGGGTGGTCTATTCTGTCCTGTAGGGTTGCCATGAGTAGAATTAGCACCTAACACAACACTTTACCTCCATCCATCCATCCATCCACCATTGATTGCTGTTTAATTTCTCAATTCTTGTTAATGGGGCACTTGGACATGTTTAAACCTGACAAATCCAGGTTTAAAAAACACATACCAAAAAACCACAAACAAACCACATACCATTGTAAGGAAAAGCGCTTTAGAAACTTTCTTGCCTTTCTGCACCATGGAGGTGGTGTGTATTCCCGTGAGAGCTGGTACTCTGTTCTTCTGAGGAGCTTTCTGAATATTGCCAGTCAGTTTTATTTTATTTTTCTCTTTAAATACGACTGTCAATCTTCATCAACATCTCCTGAACTTTCTGAGGGGAGATACGTGTAGGTGGCTGCAGAGCTTGGTTTAATTTCGTCTTCTCTTGTCTAACCATACTCTGGACAGGATTTCCCTGAGTCTTTGAAAATCACATAGCTGAGTGTCATGGATTGTCCAATCTTCCAAGCTGTCCAGGCATCAGTTTTATTTATTTATTTTTTAAACAAACCCTTTAAAGTGTTTAATCATTTAATTCATTAACCTTTAAGCCCTGACCCCTTTGCACTAGGAGTCCTGTTGGTGCACTGTACTAAGCATTGGGCTACCACCCACAGGCCAGCAGTTCAAGCCCACATTGCTCCAGGGGAGAAAGGGGAGGGTGTCTGGTACCCTGAAGAACAGTGTGCGCTGTCCTTAGAGGTCGTGCCTCTGTCCTTAGAGGTCGATATGAGTTGGAATCAACGTGATGGCAGCAGGTTTGGGTGTTCTTTTGATTTCTCCTCACGCCAGTCCCTAGAGACCGCTGATAACCTGCTTTTCTTTTCATTTTAGAAAGTTTTATTGATATATCGAGTACCATATGGTTCAATGGTTTGAATGCAGTTGTGCAATCATCACCACAATTGTTTTTAGAACAATTTCCTTATTTTTTGTACTCATTGTTAATAGCTCCACATTTCTCTCCAGCATTGCCTGCCATAACCCTAAGAATCTAATGTTCTGTTTATTATCTTTGGACTTACCATCATAGATTCACACCCCCACAGCAATAACAAATAAAATACAGAAAGACTTCAATCCAAAAGAAAACAGAAAACAAAAACAAAAATGGGTCAAAGGGAAAACAAGTGATAAGATGTTAAAATTCAACCTAACCACTTAGAGCCCCTGCTCATACCCTCCCTCAATACAGGAACACTTTGTTCTGACAAACTCAGTCTATGATGCCCACCCTCTCAGTACATTCATTGAAGACAAAATGGGTACATAAGCAAATGTGATGAAGAAGGTGGATGGTGCCTGGCTATTAAAAGATATAGTGTCTGGGGTCTTAAAGGCTTGAAGTTAAACAAGTGGCCATCCAGCAGAGAAGCAATGAGCTCACATGGAAGAGGCACACCAGTCTGTGCGATCATGAGGTGTCATTGGGACCAGGTTGCAGGCATCAGAAGACCCATAACAAACAAACAAAAACATATAGTTGAGAACAAGGGAGTCGGAGCAGAGACCCAAAGCCCATCTGTAGATAATGGAACATCCTCCCACAGAGGGGTCAAAGGGAAGGGATGAGTCAACCAGGGCACAGTAAAGCACTGATGGAACACACAATACTCCTCTGGTTCCTTGAGACTTCCTCACGCCCAGCATCAGGACCCCAGTGCTGCCTCTCACTTTGGACTAGACCAGAGCATATACACAGGTATAGTTAAGGGATAAGAGCCCACAACACATGGAATCCAGGAGCAGGAATGGGAATAGCAATACCAGAAGTGTGGGGGGGAGGGGAGCAAGGGGGAACTGATCGTAATGATCGACACACAACCACACCCCCATTCCAGGGGGAGAGAACAACAGAAGCCATGGGGGAAGGGAGACAGCGGTTAGTGGGAGATAAGGAAATAATTTATAATCTATCAAGGGGTCATGAGGGAGGGAGGTTGGGAAAAGAGCTGCTACTAAGGCTCAATAGAAAATAATTGTCTAGAAAAGAATGATGGCAACATATGTACAAATGTGCCTGATACAATTGATGTATGGATTATAATAAGAGTTTTAAGAACCCCCAATAAAATGATCTTTTAATACAAATAAAATTCAACCTAACCATATCTGCGTTAATTCACTTTCAGACACACTCTGTCTGAGGACAAGAGCATTCACAGCCCCAGTCAATGGTCCAAGGGGACTTAACAGAGGTGTAAACCCTGTGGGGACCCTGCACATGGGTCCTGGGCTTTCACTGTCACCCATAGCCTTCTGCAAACCGGGTCCCCACACTTTAAGCTATAGTCCAATTCCCTCCTGATCTTGGATCTTATTATTTGTAATACTTGGATTACACAGACTGGTGCACTTCTGTGTGGGTTTGGCTGACACCTCACTCTGTCTTGTTTTAAACCAAGGGTTAAAGACCCTAACACAATTCTGATAACGGGCACCATCTGCTTTCCTCACCACAGTTTGCACAGTTTGCCTTTCTGCACTGATCCCTTCACGAGAATAAGCATCTAGCAGGGCCACCTCATAAGAACTGATTATTATTCCCTTAGGGCTTATGGTTTACCTGTGGGCTTAAAATCCATTCCTATATTGAAGGTTTATTCACTTTAGTGGCAGCATTATCAGCTCTTTGAGAGATAGTAGAAGTAATCTCCATTGGGCCTTTGGTGATTCTAATGATAAAAGTATCGCTGATAAACTTGTTTCTCCATGCATTTGCCTATTTCGTGTAATTGGGATCAGATAATATTTGTCCTTTTGTGCCTGCCGTATTTCCTTAGCATAAGGTTCTCAAGGATCATCTGTATTGTAGCATGTGTCAGGGATTCATTTCCCTTTATGGTTTAGTATTAGTCTGCTGCCTGTATTAAAACAGAAGAAACCCACTGCCTTTGAGTCAATCCTGATAGCGACCCTCTAGAACAGGGTAGAACTGCCCCAGGCGTTTCTTTACAGGGGTATACTTCTATTATTTTTTCCACCCAAAAGGTAGATGGACACCTGCATTGTTTCCATCATTGGTTACTGTGAATAGTGCTATAATGAAAATTGAGTCCCTGTAGTTTATCTTTTTGCACATAGACCTAGCAATGGAATTATTGGTTCATATTGGTAATTCTATAGTTCCTTGAAGAACAACCCAAACATTTTCCACAGTGGATGTATCCGTTTACAGTCCTTTCAGGCATGTGAGAGAGTTCCAATCTCCACATCGTCACTGGTAATTGTTTTCAGTTCTTTGTAATAATAGCCATTATAATGGGGTTGCCATGATACCTTACAGTGGTTTGATTTACATTTCCACTATGACTTCATGTATTTTTTTATGCCTTTACCGATCACTTCTACACTGTTTTTGATGAAATAGCTATTCAAATCCTTTGCCCATTTGAAAATTGTTTCCCTTTGTGTTGCTGAACTGACAAAACACACTTTGATTTTAAGAGTGTTGTCAGGGGGAACCAATTACAAGGATCAACATATAACCTCATCCCTGGGGGATGGATAACAGAAAAGTGGGTGAAGGGAGTGGGTAAGATATGACAAAAATTAATAATTTATAAATTATGAAGGGTTCACGAGGGAGGGGGGAATGGGGAGGGAGGGGAAAAATGAGGAGCTCATACCAAGGGCTCAAGCAGAAAGCAAATGTTATGAGAATGATGATGGCAACAAATGTACAAATGTGCTCGACACAATGGATGTATGTATGGATTGTGATGAGTTGTATGAGCCCCCAATAAAATGAGTGAGAAAAAAAAAGAGTCTACAGTATTGTTGGGAGGGAGGGAAAAACAGGAGCTAAAACAACAGCTCAAGTAGAAAGACAATGTTTTGAAAATGTTGATGGCAACACATGTACAAATGAATTGATACATTTGATGTGTGAATTGTTATAAGAGCTGTAAGAGCCCCCACAAAGATGATTAATTTTTACAAAAGGTCTGCATGACCATAAGTGCCAGTGCATAGCTTAAATGAGATACTGGTCGGTACCGAAAGGCAACCCAAACAGGCACACATGTAGAATCTGTAGCATTTATTTCTTTTAAGAAGGGAAGAAGGCAACTGGAATGAATTTGATACTTGCATATACTGAGAAGCATTTATAACAATAGAAAATTATTGGGAGATTGATAAGGGAGGTTAGGTTTACAGGTGCCTGGACCTGGCCTCCAGAGCCAAGGAGTTAAAGACTAGACTTATATTTTCCTACATATGCTTTATAGAAGACATAAGAAAATCAAAAGAAAAGGGAACGGGCCCACTTCTATAACCCAAATAGCCACAGTTATTTTGATAAAAATCAATGTATCAGTCAACCTCTCTCTTGCATACTGCAAAAAAATGAGAATATCCTGCTTGAATTTGTACTCCCTTAAACCCTGCAGCCACGGACATCCCTGGAGCCGCTGCACTCTGCCCAAGAGGGTCACCATGAGACGGATTGACTCCATGGTAGTGAGGTGGTTTGGGGAATGTTTTCATGAGGATTAACATTCCCACTTCGACTGTTTACAGTTACTTGTAGAAACCATTAGCTTTTTCTACTCTATATTTCTCTATAAAGTTGTCAGTGTACTTGAAGCAAGCCTCTGCTTTCAGATGTCCTAAACGACGCGATCTTTGATGAGGATCACGATGAGATGGTGATTGTCAAGGACATAGACATGTTTTCCATGTGTGAACATCATCTAGTCCCATTTGTTGGAAAGGTAAGGTTTTCTTGTGTGGTTCTTTCCTAGCAGTTTTTGAAAGCATAATGAAAACTTTACACACAATGGATGGACGGATGGATGGATTGTGATAAGAGTTATATGAGCCCCAATAAAATGATTTAAAAAGAATGAAACCTTTAAAACTTATGGCATTGATTTTGTACACAGCTGTAAAGTCATAATATCCTTTATATTTAGTTAGACATCCAAGGAGGTTTCAAAATTCATGGGAAAATTACCTTAAGTTTTAATTTCATTTTTAGGAACTTTAAAAAAGCCCCCTTGTATATAAATTAGACAACTTGACTAGATTTGAATTTTCCAAAGTTAAAATAAAACAAAGAAGCAAAGGCCCTAAGGGCATGGATCTCATATTAAATACCATGTTAATAGGTTAAAGAATGAGGTTAGCAGGGCATTTTCTGGCATAGTTTACATGCCAAAACCTTTGACTAAATAATGTTTCATCCAAGATATACATATGAACAGCTTGGCCTGATCAGTAATGACCTACAGAATTTTTCTTTCTTTTCTTTACCCCCAGAGTTTCTTATGACAAAGGTTATATATCAGTGGATTTAATTTGTTTCCAACCCTTTCAATATTAGCAAAAATGAATCGAATGCAAGCTAGATTATGTTATCTTAGCTTGTTGTAATTAAATACGTCTTTTAGGACTTGAAGGTTTAGGACAGAGTTATTATTGTTTTTAAAATCATTTTGTTGAGGGCTCGTACAACTCATCACAATCCATACATACATCCACTGTGTCAAGCACATTTGTACCTTTATTGCCATCATCATTCTCAAAACATTTTCTTTCTACTTGAGCCCCTTGGTATGAGCTCCTCATCCCCCCCCTCTCTCATATACTCTTGATAATTTATAAATGATTAGTTTTTCATGCCTTACACTGTCTGGTGTCTCCCTTCACCCACTTTCTGTTGTCTGTCCCCCAGGGAGGGGGTTGTATGTAGATCATTGCGATTGGTTCCCCCTTCCTCCCCCACCTTTCCTTTCCCCTCATGTATCTCTACTCTCATCATTGGTCCTGAGGGGTTGATCTGTAGGACAGTTATTAACCACTCCTTCCTCAAGCATTATTATTTTGTTTTGACTTTAAAAAAGTAACTTTCAAACAAATATTAACAATGGTTCAAATTTTATTAATATTTGAATTTTTCACTTAAAAATCTAAACAACACAATATGTGGAATTTAGAGTACTCACTTCTTCACAGATCAAGAACTAAAACACCATTAGCACCTTGGAAGCCACCCTTGGGCCCCTTCACAATCTCAATCCCATCCTTCCCCATACAACACAGGTAACAAGTATCCTGATATCCAGTGCTCTTGAGTAATCTTCCCCCATTTTTTTCAACCGTGTATGAATGGAAGGGATCTACAGTATAAATCCTTTATATTTGCTTCTTTTGCTCCCCTTTATAAAATTCTTTTTTTTTTGGGGGGGGGCTGTCATTTTAGTTTGTTAATTTTCATTGCTGTGTATTGTTCTATTGTATAAGCATACCACAATTTCTCTTACTATGCTTTTGTGGACATTTGTAGTGTTTTATTTTTACTATTACAAACAATACTCTAAACATTATTTTCATGGTCAGATGCATATATTTTTATTAGAATGTATCCAGGGGCCATTAATAGTGTCATGTAACTCATTCCTAGAACCTTTGGATTTCCCATAAACTGAAAAAGATTGAAAAAAATTTTTTAATCATTTTATTGGGGGTTCATACAACTCTTATCACAATCCAAACATGCATCAATTGTGTAGAGCACATTTGTACATTCGTTACCCTCATCATTCTCGAAACATTTGCTCACCACTTACATGCTTGGCATCAGCTCCTCATTTTTCCCCTTCCCTTCCTGGCCCCCTTCCCTAATGAACCCTTGATAATTTATAAATTATTATTTTGTCATATCTTACAAGATTGAAATTTTCGATAAGATTAAGGCTAAACATTTTTGATCAGCGTTAGGAACACTGTGGATCCCTATCTCATTCATACACGGTTGAAAAAAATGGGGGAAGATTACTCAAGAGCATACCCATCAGGAGGTATGCAGTGTCTGGTAACCTTGTAATCAGTGATGCTGAGGTGGTGCCAGCAGGGCTCAGAATCTTCAAATGAAGACACTTTTTAGCTCATCTTTGCCCTTGATTAATGATTGGGAAAATAAACCCCAGAATCCTGTATGCTGTCTAAAGGATAGAGAGGGTGTCAGCGACCGCCCTTTGACAGGACCCAAGGAACTTGGTCCTGAACTACTCCTTTTATCACTATAGCTTATGTTATCAAGATATCTATTTTGATGTTCTTGCTAAGTTTGCTGTTAAAATACAAACAATAAACAAATTGTAGCCTTGCATATAAGTATAAAAATGTCAAGTGCTGCAGATTCCTCGGTTCTCTGAGAGAGTTATACTATTCTAATTTCCTAATTTGAAATATTCAGCTTTCAGGTGTCACATTATTTTCCCTGTGTACCAGCAAGGGACTCTCAAAATTTTAAAGTCAGAGTTTAAAAGTCACTAATTGAGGAAAAGTCACTACTGATTACTAAATCAATTATAGAAGAGTATAGTATTAGATAAAAAAATGAAAAGGTGTTGGCAAACCATGATGCAATTGAGTTGATGATTTAATACTGGGTTAATTGAACACCTACCATTAACCTTGCTAGCCTTTTTAGGGAACTGGTGTTTCTTGACCACAATACTTGCCTCTACAGAGGTGGCACAGTATGAATACGTTTAGACTGTTATAAGAGGTTTTGTTTTATACTAAGTAGGTCTTTTAAGGAGTTAGCTGTGAAGATCCAGTACTCGAGCAGTTGAGGAATGGAACAAGCCAGCATGACAAAAGGCAGTGAGACCTGTGCGACAAGGATCTGAGGGGAGCTTTTAAGGCCACCGTGAATGGTGGTCGCGACAACTTTGATATTATAATCTCTGTCCTTCAAAGGAGACATTCCTGGATACATTTCAGTGTTGCTACAGAATCATTTGCATTTTTCTTGAGACTTCTCAGGTTTGTACCAAGAGTTTAACACACCAGACAACATGATGACAAAATAATTTTAAAATTTTTGATTTATTTCCTTTTAGTTACAATCATGTAATTTTAAAAACTGCTTTGATAAGTGGTTGGTTTTTTAAATTTTGAAGCTTCAAAATATGCTAAATTCTTCCCATAGATCTTCATTTGCCACTCAAAGTGCCATTTTCATCTAGCTCATAATTTCTCTTTCTTCTCTGAAGGTCCATATTGGTTATCTTCCTAACAAGCAAGTACTTGGCCTCAGTAAGCTTGCTAGGTAAGTACGACTGTGTTAAATAAAAAAATACATTTATAGTGACCTGCCCCTGACTCAGGGATGGGGAATATTTTCTTCCAGGGGCCATTTGGATAATTATACCATCATTCAAGGGCAGTTCGAACATTTAATCAGTTCACCCCTAATGTGTTGACTGTAACTGCATCCCTGCTGGAACTGTGAGGAATGCGATGGTAATTGGTATTTATGATTTCTAGGGCCGGGTGGTCACCTAGATGGTGAGGACCTCCAGGATTTCATGTTTCATTAATATGGATCTAACTGGGAAGTCACATTACCACTTAAAATATATGTTCATAGCAGAAAAAGATTCAAAAGGGCTTGAAAACACTCGTCACTCCCCTGTTTTGCCTGCTACACCTCCACTTTCTCGTTCATTCCATGTTCGTTCTTGAAATCATAGCTCACATCTCTCTGCACAGTGCTTCTGTGATGAAGAGGACTTAAGGTTACAGTCCACCCAGCCACTTCCTTTAAAATCGGCTCACTAATGGTAAAGAATGGAGGAGGAAACCTAGGCAGGGGCTTCTACCTGCCTTCCCCTGTCCAGGGTACCTCTGGGCATTTCTCTTCCCTACAGGACCAGCCGGTTCACTTCTAGATGATGTATCTCTGCAGACACAAGAGTGGGCCTCCCTTTACTTTGCTCAGCTCTACTTCAAGACACTGTTTTCTCTCTTTTCTGCTACAGTCTCTATTTTGTATCTTTGTAGATGTATGAATACATTATGTACTATTTTGGGTGGGGGTATAAGGAGGAGAGGCAATATACGTGTGTACATATGTGCTCATCTATTGTTACCTGGAAGTCAGTTGGAGAGTTCCACTGCCATTGAGTTGCATACAACTCATTGTGACCCTGTAGGACAGAGCAGAGCTGCCTCTTATGTTTCAGAGGCTAGAAATCTTTATGGGAGCAAAAGTCCTCATCTGTGTGCAACCAATAGCCTGGTGGGTTTGAACTGTTGACCTTGACATTAGCAGCCCAACTCTAAGCCACTGTGCCCCCAGAGATTCTTGAGGGTTAGTGCTTGTATGATTCTGATAGTTCCCACTCACCGATATTTTATTCTAAATATTCCTTGTTTGTTGTAATTTCTTTGTATGAATTTAGTGCATCCTGGATGGTGGGGAAATATTGGTAGAGATGTATGGTTATGCATGCGAGTGTGTAAACGAGTGAGCTTCAAAAAGTTCGTGGAAAATGGAAGTAAAAAATAATTGTTCCAACAACCTTTTGAAGATCCATAGGCTGAAAACCCAAACCAGACTCACTGCCATCGAATAGACCCTAGCTCATAACAACCCTATAGGACAGGGAGAACCAACTGCCTCTGTGGTTCCTAGATTGTAGCTCCTTAGAGGAGGAGTAGCCTCATCTTTCGCAGCTCAATACATAACCACGGCCACCAGGGCTTCTCATTGGGGAGCGTGATCTCTCCATTGAGACACTGGAGTTTACCGGGGCCCTGAAGTGGCCGCCCAGATCTTCTGCAGTTGTCTGCTAGAATCTCTAAATACTGCAGTCTGGCAGCTGCCCTCCACAGCTGTGCTTTCATTTAACTTTCTCCTTCATTTCCTCTAGAGGAGTTTACCTTCTTCAGTTTCCAACCTCATTCCTGTCCTGTAATCTCACCGCCACACCTGGCACCATGGAAGGATGATATCTGGTGGTTGTAACTGCATCACTGACTTTTAGTGACCTGTGTCCAGTGGCATTTTCAGGGAGTGGCCCCGGGGAAAGGACAGAGTAGACAGAAAGGATAGTGGTAGTGAAGAAGTAAATGATCCTATTTGAAGTTCTATCAGTACCTTCTTCCCCAATAATTTATTCCAAACAATAGATAGTCTGTTTCATATTCACTGTGAGTAAAGAGTCTTTACTAAAATGACTAGTCTTAGCAAAAGCAATGTGTTCAATGTGTAGACAGCTGTCTTAGGTGTCTCCAGGTGTGCTCCTTTCCAGCAAGCTCCCTGACTGTCTGCCTTTCCCATGTGGGAATTCCTGCTGATGCCCTTGACGGAGACCGCCCAGGCATGGAAGGTCTATTGGATATTTTTCATATTATAAACAAGCCTAACAGACCATATTAGGCCTGGGCCTTAGGTCAGTGGCCTTCTCTAACATGGAATCCCTGAGTAGTGCTCAGCTGTCATAGGAAAGCTTGCCAGGAAACTACCAGGACAGAGGCTCTAGAAAGCACAAGCCTCTGGAAAGCTGGCAGTGTAACCTTAGAGTGCTTCTGTGATGCTGCCCTGCGTTGGAATCAATGCCACGGCAACTGGAAGATCAGGCTGCTGTACAATGGGTAACACCTGTGGGAAGTGGATCGGAGGGTGTGCCAATGAGATGGTGAAATACTCCAGGAAAGAATACTGCGACTAGGGCAAAGAATCAGAGTTGGGGGATTAGACCTTCCACTAATAGTGTTACCACACAAAAAGAGCACCAAACCGGACAACAGAGTATATGCCACACAGACACAGACACACACAAATAGACACATATACGTATATGAATATTAAACCAAACCTTCGAGGCATTTTATTATAAAAAGTCAGGCTCATATAAACTAATAGGTACTTCAAAATTTGTCATACATTTATTTGGTTTTTTAGCTTTGTCTTCTCATACATCTTGAGCTTCGTTGATTTTGGTTGCTAAGTAAGGAGATATCCTCCCTTATCTAGGTGATTTAAAAGATCATAATAGTTGATGAGCATCTCCTATATTTTCGTTATTGGCAATAGCAGAATTAATGATGCCTTCAAATCTTGCAGCAGCAATTGTCCGTCCAGTTGCTACCACTGTACTGGCCATGGCTTTGGCTCAGCTTCCCTGCCTCCACCCGGTGCCTGGTTGGTCCCAGCCTAAGGCCATGGCCATCCACACCATGCCTCTACTGGAAAGGGACCTCATATTTTGTAAAAGAAAAACAAACTGTTTATTCCCTCAATAAGAAAGAGGAGACTGTTTAGAGAACAGAAGAGCAAAAATCAAGGACAGCTGAATGTCATGGCAAATTTTCAGTGTTCATTTTAATCTTGTATGTGAAGCTTGCCATATGCTTGACTTTAAAAGAATGACCTTTTACTACCTGGGAAGTCAAATATCAAACAGTAGATCCTTAAGTAACGAGAAAATGCCAGAAGTGAGTTGATCTGGTTCGACTTAATAGAATTCTAGGTAAACTTAGCTTGAATCAAAATTCTTTTTGTTTCTGAAAATCCACTTAACACACATTGCTTTTCTTGCCTTAGCATAGGGAGTGTGAGCATAATTAAATCTTGAATTTAGAATGGTACAGTGTTGAGGTAGCCAGAGTTAATCTCTCTACTGAACACCTACTGTGAGAGGGCACCGTGTCACCTGTAAGAAGTAGGGCACATCCACTGCTGACAAGGGGGGCGGGGAGGCAATGGTAAGTGCCCCCAAAAGCTTGGTTGGGGCTCCCAGTGCAGGGGGCCAAGATGACTGTCAAGTTGCCTGGAGCACAGAGCAGTCTTGGAAACACTCTGAGGCAGTTCCAGAACTGCCTCAGAGTGTTTCCAAGACTGTAATCTTCGTAGGCACACACTGTCAGGGCTTTCCCCTCCCACGGAACTGTTGGTGGGTTCAAACTCCTCCCTGATAGCCGGCAAATCCTCCTGTTGGTCTCCTGCTCTGTGCTCCAGGCACGGTTAGGCATTTGCAGCCTGTGTCACATCTCGTCAAGTTATGTGATGCCATCAGAACACTTATTTGTATGGGTTATTTGATACCACCCAGGGATTCTTCCTGCAAAGGTGTCACTAGGTCCATTTGCTCGTTGTCAGAGGAAAACCCAGAAGAGAGAAAGCATGCTACATAATCAAAAGAAAAATGGCGGGCTTGGGGTAGACTCACTGTTACAAGACCTGTAAGTGAACTATGTACAGAAAGTTGTTAAAACCCGTTTACAACCGGGGCCCTTTTATACTAAGCAACAACAACACAAGCCAACAATAAGAAGTAAGGTCAAGTTCCAAACTCATTTTGTCATTCAGTCCATGTCAAGTCATAATGACCCTCCAGGGCAGAGTAGAACTACCCTGTGGGCTTACCAGGCTGCAAATCTTGCTCCAAAGGAGCGGCAGACCTTGCCGTTAACAGCGCACTTGACAATCCACTACCCCACTCGTTCTCTTAAGAAGTGAGGTAAAGTCCGTTAGAGGAGACAATGAGTCCTCTTATTTTGAGAGAGTTGGCACAATGAAACTTGTTCTGCGTCTGTCTTTTCAAGTTGATTTAAAATTGGAAACAAGAAATGGCTGAAGTGCCTGGAGAAACTGGCCAACTCGAATGGAAACGCAGGAAGCCACATTCCCTCTGCCTTTTGAGTGATAGATAAAAGGGTATGGAAAGCAGAATGATAGACTTTTGGCTAACAGACGAGCTTAAATTTTAAAATATGCCAACGCTCTAGTGTAATTTAAAAAATAATATAGATGATTAAAGGAAAAATCATTTTGAAGTTAAATTCTCTTAAGTTTACTTTGCACAACATAAATATGCCAGTGCAAACACTATATAAATTAATACAATCCAAGGCTCAAAGCTGCATTTTGGGGGCAAATTTATAGCTACCACGGCTTTGATTATTAAATAGGAAACACAAATAAGCACAATCAATAGGCGTGTGTTGCTGTTTTTCAAACTATTCGCATAGTAGGATTGATAGAGCAAGAAAGAACTAACAGGTGGACATCTTAGCTTGGTAAGTGTGTCTCTGGTCTTCCAAGCTTGACAGTGGCATCTGTGATAACAGCTCTTGCTTTCTACTCATCTGGAGCAAAAGGGAAGGACGCTAATTAGCTAGGACAGGTAGTCTACAACTCAGTGGTTCTCAACCTTCCTAATGCCATGGCTCTTTAATACAGTGCCTCATGTGGTGGTGACACCCCTCCCCCACCATACAATTACTTTTGTTGCTACTTCATATCTGTCATTTTGCTACTGTCATGAATCAGGTGACCCCTGCGAAAGTGTCGTTTGCAAGTGTTCTGGGATTCCAAAAGGGGAAAATGACAGATTGTGTGGTAGGCTGAGAGCAAGTGACCTCTTTGGGGAGTTAATCATACTGATACTTATAGAATCTTACAAGAGTGATCGCTAATCACTTGTAATTTGATTATTCTAATAGGTTTAGTTGGTGTGACAGTTGAGGATGATCTTTTTATTTTTAACTTGAACTTTCAATTCTGATTAAACAAATATGATTAATTAGAACACAAGGTTCAGCTTCAAAAACCGATGACTTGGGAGCGTTCAAATTTCATTACTTATTTTCAGTTGTTTTTTTTTTCCCTCAATGATTTTTGTTCCTGGAGAGCTGTAAATTCTCTTTTGGGTTGTAGCACCAAGAACAGTCACCTTTAGATCCACTATCACTTACCAGACGTTCTCACATCTGCCTGTCTTCTGGGGAAGCATCCACCCCCACCCCCACTCATGTCCAGCCCAGAATTGCTTCAACGAAGTTTCTGTCTCACTAGAAAGCCGTACACAGGATTCACTGCTAACAAGCTATGATTAATGAGACCTGTGCTTTCTTTTCTAGGATTGTAGAAATCTATAGTAGAAGATTACAAGGTAAGTTTTAAAAATCTGTATTTTTTCTTATAAAAATATTTTGTAGAGAAGTATTTTAATTTTCTTATTACAATCCTAATGATAGGCTTTATAAAATTATAAGAATAAGAATATAAAAGTCTTCTATGAGTGTTTATATATATATATATATACACACACACACTAAACCTCCCACCTCAACCCTAGTTGTATTTTTTATGTTCACCATTTTCCTCTGTGCATATCAATATTTAAAAATCAATGAGTTATGGGTTGTTTTCTATTTAACCACAAATGAATTATACATGTTGGGTTATATGCCCCTTACTTTGTGTCCCTTAACACATCTTAGGATTGTCTCCCCCACGTACACAAAACCACCTCATTTATTTTGATGGCCGTTCAGCATCCCATTGGATAGCTGACCTTGACTCCATTTCAGCTGCCCTGCTCTGCCACTGTTTAGACAGGATGCTGTGAGTGAACGCTGCTGGCTGTATTCAAAGACAAGTGATTTACTCAGCTCAGGAGCTACATTTCTAAGGCTAAATGGCTGGTTTTCTACAGAACCCCTAATCCTGTTCCAGGCTTTTTATTTATTTGCTCGACTTCACCTCCACAGAGGTGAAGCAACTGCTGTTCAAAACTTTCCCGTTAATTCTGAAATCTCTTTAGCACCTGCACTGCCCTTGAGCGCTACCAAGTGGTGGTGGTGGTGGAGGTGGAAGAGGTGGTGGTAGTGGGATGGTGGTGGAGGAGATGGTGGTGGGGGAGATGGTGGTGGAGGAGAAGGAGGTGGTGGTGGGGGTGGAGGTAGTGTTGGAGGAGGAGGTGGAGGTGGTAGTAGTGGAAGAGGAGGAGGTAGTGGTGGAGGAGGAGGTGGAGGTGGTGGTGGAGGAGAAGGATGGGGGTGG